TGTTTATTTAGATAGAAGCTTTATTCTATGAATGTGCAGATGTTGCTATGTGGCAGAATGTCAAAACATGATAGAACAATTACAATTTGCAGTTAGATTATCGATAGACCCTATTATAAACAGACAAGAAAAAAAACAGTCAGTAGGCTAAGACTGACTTGAAGTAACGTGCAAAAAAAGAATGTCAAGAAGATAACACACTGAAATTTAAATTCAGCGCTAAAATAACATAAGTTCATAAGAACTGAATAAGCGCAACATTTGTATAAATTTCAGCATGTGTAAAGCCAAGAAAATTAGTAATTCTTATTTTTCATAATTAGTAACAATACTTAACAATATTCAGTTGACAGGCGCCTAAAAGTGAAGGGACACTGTTGGATGCCTTTTTATCTGACCAGAGGACTTCCTCGTTAACTGTGAAGTGGTACAGGGGATTAGTGATCATTCCGCGGTACTTTAAGAAATAGCAGGACATATTTCTCGTGTTGAAGATTCTAAACCTACAAAGGTCTATCATTATTATAAGGTAAATGCAAAGGGTTTACAGGAATATCTGAGAGCAAATTACTCAGACTGGTGTAATACGGGAAGCAGCAAGACAAAACCTGCAGGAACTATAAACAAATTGTGATTGACGGAAGAGAGCATTTTGTATCCCAGAAATATCTTAAAAGGAACCCAGATCCTGAGGGCAATAAAGAAAAGATGAGGAAACTGAAATCAAAAGTTAGAAGAGCTTACAAAAAGCATGGGAGAAGTACAGAAAAAAGTGTAAAATTCAAGATTCTCTCTAGGGTGCTTCTCCAAGAGAAATTGGCCGCACAAGAAATGTTTTTACAATGTATATTATCTGAGTTTAAGCACCCAAAGCAAATTAAATACATGATCTATCTAACTATATTCAAAAGAGATGGAAGGAATATATTGAGGAGTTATAGAATACAAAAACAGATGAAATGAGGGAAGACTACACACACATATATTATATTATATTATATACATAAATATAATATAAAAAATAAGGCGACAAAAACCACTGTAGAAATTACCAAGAAATTACGTTATTAAATATTTTTTGCAAAGTTCTGACTAATATTATATTCAATAAATGGGAAAGATACTATGAGAAAATAGTAGGAGAATATCAATGTGGATTCCGCAAGGACAGAAGTACCAGTGATGAAATCTTTATAGTATGACTGGCAATGGAAAAATTTTATGAACATAATACTGATTTACATATGTTATTCACTGATGAACAGCAAGCCTTTGATAGTACAAATAGGGATGAGCTATATAAATATATATAATGGAATGGAATACCAACAAAACTAATTACATTAGTAAAAATGAGAACAGAGAACAGCAGAGCAAGAGTGATGGTGGAATCGAACTTAATAATGAGTTTGTCTTGGAGAAAGGAGCGAGACAGGGTGATGCATTGTCCACATTACTGTTCAATTTGACTCTGAATAAAATTCTGGAGAAGCTATCAGGAGCAAACAACATAATATACAAATCAAAGCAAGCATGTGCCTATCCAGACAATACAGTATTAATAGCTAAATGGTTGGATTATTTAAAACAAATGTTTAATTATATCGAAAATAAGGGGAAAAACATGGGATTGAAAGTTAATGAAGGCAAAACAAAGTACATGCACTTAACAGCTGTGGAAAAAAGAAGAAATATAGATGAATTAACAATAGGGCCTTATACTTTTGAAAATGTTGACAGTTTTGAATATTTGGGTATTATGATTAAAAATAGGAACAAAATGAATGAGGAAATAAACAGAAAGGAAACAAATCTTAATATACCAACTTAAAATTAATTAAATCACAACTATTATCACGTAAAACAAAGTTCAAAATATATAAGACTCTGACTAGGCCGGTAATATCCTATGGCATGGAGACATGGAATATGACAAGCAATGATTGTAATGAACTTCAAATATTTGAGAGAAAAGTCATAAGAAGAATTGATGGTGCTGTAGATGGTGGAGGAGAATGGAGGATTAGAACAGAGGATGAAATCTAGAAATATGAAGATATTGCAGGTACATAAACTTACAAAGAATACATTGGTTGGATCACATTGAAAGAATGCATGATGGACGAACGCCTAAAACTATATATAAAGCCAGAATGGACATAGGATGATGCAAGGGAAGACCAAGAAATAGATGAAGTGGAAACAGATATGCATAAATTGAATATGCAATCTTGACAAAGAGCTGCCCAAGATTGAGAGAGATGGAAATCTTTTGTAGGGAAGGCCAAAGCCCACCTTGGGCTGAAGTGCTGGAAGATAATGATGATATGACACAGTAATCAGGCAGAAACTCTGGGAAATACTTGAAGAGGAGAAAAATTCAAATCAGTTGCTCAAGGCCTAGACAAGAACTCAAATACTATTGAGAGAAGAAAGTCTGTAGCAATAACACCAGCACCAGCAGCTTAAGGCATGGAAGCAGATTATCATCCAACCTTGTCAACATCCTTATATAGTATTCAAATAACTGGAGTCTATCCGTATCCATCAAAAACGTGTATCTTTGCATTTTATAGGCAACTAAAATGTGTTTTCAATGGCTTATGGCACATTCAGAGATGATAAATAGTTCATTTGATTCCTCTACATGAGGCAAATGGTTTGGTATTGATTTTAGGCACATCCTTTTAGTACCTTCTGGAGAAAGGAAAAAAAGTAGAAAACATGTTCTTTAGATGTTTCAAGACATCTAGAGATGATGTGAATTATTACGATTACTGCCTTTCCAAATGTAATGTGAATTCTAAGGTCATGACTAATTAGATTGACAATATTTAAACCTAATTTTGTGAGGAAATACACACTATTGTAAAAAAAAAAAAAAAAAAAGGATTTCTGTCAATGAATTATTAAACATTGAATGTAATATGTCTTTGAATATTTTCAAACCTAAATGAGACCTTGTTATTAGGATAATGACATAAGTCAGCTAACCCAAACATTGCAATAAAATCTGGGTTGATCGAAAGTTAAGTTTTTTAGTTTGTTTAATAATGCGATGTATTTTATACATCTTTGTACCGATTCCTGAATTATTTTCTACGTTATCTTCAATATGAAATCAAGCTATTAAATGTTGATTTTTTTAATGTGAGAATAATAGTATCAAGTACAATGACTCATTTGCAAGACCTATGTCGAAAAGTAAGAATTTATGGGAAGAAAATTATTCACATTTAAGCATGAAATAGCACAGTCCCGAAATGAGAATAAAACATGATTAACACAAAAGATGATTTTGCAATCTTCCTTACCTGTCAACTTTTAAACCTATTGTTTAAAATCGCCACCACCATACCAAGAGAGCACCCAGTAATTTGCAATGAAGCTCAGACAACAGCTAAATGTGATGTCAGTGAGACAGTCTAAGGCTCCTATGAAATGAAGATATAGGATGTTCATTGATAAATCTGATAAGAGCAACAAAGACAATGTTCTACAGCTTACTGAAGCTGCATCGTAGAAAAAAAAAGAGAGAAACTAAACCCCAGCACATCCAAGAGCAGAATTGTACAACTTTAACTCCCAAAACACTTCTCTGCCATTAGTACGTTGGAGGTTGAATAAGCAGTCCTGATAAAAATGTAGAGGAATGTAACTGTAGGTATGTATGTTGATTTGTACATCGTATAAAATTTAGCCACCACTTCTGTCAAGAAGAATCAATATAGTATATGCCTACAAAAATATTTTTTGAATTTATTTTATTAAACTCTGTTCAAAGAATGGGTAATTGAAACCACAAATATCTCTTTCAATATGGGAGGGGATTACTGTCTTTCCATTAGTCTTTAATGTTAATAAAAAATATAAGTGTTTTATTCTAAACTACTTTCCATTACTAATGTTCAATGAAGGTTGGGGCAGAAGTCATGGCAACTATATTTATCTGAAAGAAATAATCTTTGATCACACAATTTGATTTCACACATGAACAAAATACTGTACTAATCACAACAGTAGATGGCTATGTTGTTGGCTCTATTAGCACAGAGAACAATATGAAATCAGTTGTCTGACAACCACCAAGTGAAATAAATGTAATCCGTTTCGAGCAGCACTCATTCACCAATAGGGTCCATGGTAAAATGTCCAAGAATGTCATATGGAATTAGTGGAAGCTGTTGGGAATAATGCCTTTCCATACTGGTGAGTCACAAGATGGGCAGGAGAGTTTCTACAAGGACACCTCACCAGTGATGAGTAACACACATGACAACCTGTGTGCGCGGACCAATGTGGCACATGCGGTAATCAAACATGTCTAATTGGGCCTTTAAAATGAGTATGTAATACTTATGGAATGTTATGAACTTTTATATACTGTAATGCTTTGGAACATGAAATAAGTATTGCCATTTCAAATACCTTAATAAATATGAGAAACCCAATTTTTCTTCATTAAATAACCCTGCACTTAGTTCATACCTTGTCCTTCCATGTGTTTCACATTTTTCACCCCTGCTCATATCCTCAAACAAAAACAACAACAAAAAGTAAAATAAAAAAATAATAATAATAAAAATAATTGCCATGACTTCTGCCCCAACCCTTGTATATGGCACAGGAAATTGTTTAATACTTTAATCAAACAGGAATTCAAACAAATCTGTTGATTTGTTTATGTGTCTTTGTATTTGTGTTGATTTGGACTCAAATCCAATAATGCTGCAGACTTAATATACAATTAACTTTGGTATAAATACACAAAGCTACTAGAAAAATGAGAATTTCTAAATAGCTTTTAAATTACCTAATTTTAAAAAGGTTTTCTTAAACATACATCACAACACACAAAACATTTTGAAATTTTTAAATAGCATTTCAGAATTTATGTCATTTTGCACAAAATCTATGAAATGTTAATATAGGATTAAAAATTACAAACTCAAGTGGCAAATATATACACATGAAAACTTATATTTTGCCGCTATTTTATATCATTTTACTGCAAAAAAAAATCTTACCTGTTGAGCAATTATTAATGAAATTACTCAACAGTTATATATTTACTCAAGTGAGAAAAATTTGATTATTAATTGTTAAGAACAAAATATTTGCTACAGGCAGAAGCAGCAACTCCCTCTTTGTGATGTAGCAAAGAATTATTTGTAGCTAACAAAATAGGTTTGATGACTTATACATTATTAATGTTCACTGCATTTCCATATTTTAAAGGATTCTAAAAGTAATGATCAGGTACAATCAATCATTTTGAATTGGTACAAAATATTTTTGTACCTTACTGTCAAAAATTACCTTATAAAAATATGCCAAATTCAGCAGAAAGTTTTAGTCAAATCTACCATCACACTACATATTCCAGTCTTGTAGACAGTGTATCTTATCAAACCTTACCCTCAATAGAAGGTTGGGATTGCCAAAATATATTTGAACAATATAGCTTTTATCTAATACTGGAAACTTCTAAATACCCTGCAACAAGGCAGTTATTTCCTGAAGGGCCAAAAACATTTAAGTGATATAGTGTGATGTATTTATGTGATATAATTAATAAGGTGTTTTCTCCTTTGTTCCAATTAACCTAACTTGAAATGCTGTTTCTTTCTAGACAATATTTAATATATTTGACTTTTTTTAAAAGAATTTTAATTTACTTCAAGGCAAAACCAAGAACATGTGACCTCACATATTTCAAAGCCAAAGGGTGAGCAAAGTTAAAAGTTTTATTGTAACATTTTATTTGAGCAAAAGGACCCTTAAGAATAGATTTTTCAATATCTCTATTCAGATGACATCCATGAAATAAATGGGGCCAAATCCCAGTAACAGACAGTGCTGTTTGCCATCTTCGCAAGCTGTGATCATCTTTGTCAATGCAATGCTCAAAAAAATAATAGTGTCCACCCTGGAAAATAAAAAACATATAAGTACAGAAATAATTTTGTTTACCTTCAGAAATGTGGACATCTGGATTACACTTTAAAATGTTTAGAAAATTCAATATTCTGACAGGGAATTGAACAGACAATTGTCTTCTGGTATGCACCCACATACTTGTATCACTAAACTACCAAAGCAACCCTGTAGGACATGTAATGTGTACTGCCCAATACGTAAAACTAAATTGTTAACATTACTTACGTTAAGGTTGTGATTATTAACAGTCCTACAAATATCACAAGGATTATCAAGGATAGTAAAACAGCGTCTCAAGCTCTGGTAATTAATCACTACGGAAAGGGTATATTACAATATGACGTTCTGTTTTCGCCTACCTGAGAAATCATAATTTAATACATTACGCTTTCTTTAGATATTTGGCTGACATTTATGATGTTCAATGATTCATAATGCCATAATTCATGTCATGTACTAGGTGAATGTTATAGTGGAGTAAAGTTTTTTCATTATTAATTATGTTCTATTATGTTTGAGTCTGGTTTTATGAATTATTCATTTTAGCATTTAATTGATTCACTTTAGTGTTCCTCAATTCAAGCCTATAAAGCTCTTTATAGTAGTCATTCTTAGTACTTCTGAGCAGGTCATACATGTATTTCACTTAATTTCTAAAAGCTATGATGTTTAAAAATTAATTTTTTGTTTTTCCTTTTTAGAGAAGGGGACATGCAAAGTTTAAGTGCTCATTTAATTTGTTCACGAACAAATTCAATTTCTCATTGATATCACTGCTGTATAAAATATAACTGTCCAAATTTATTTGAAGAGATATTAATTGAATAACTGTGTTTTGGTTTCACTTGTATCACGCGTGAATATATATTTAGGTTGGTTAAAATTATGGGGACAATTAATTATTTCAACACATTAGTTTCTTAGGAATATAGATAGCTGCTCTTCAAATTGAAGCAGAAAGCCACATAAAATTAGGGGATCTATAGATGCCAATGACTTTCATGTTTCCTATTATTGTTCCAAATCTTTACATGTCATTTCAACACTCGTATTTTTTATCCACTCAATTATTTCACAATTTACATTATTCTAAACCAATATTTCAATACCAGCACTTGTTTTAATTCTCTACAGAAACACAATTAAAGTTTGTAATTGGTGATATTGATTGAATTCATTTCATAATACTTTTGACAATCTTCAGTAATAACTCCTACATGCATGTATGTTTCTAATAATACAGACTCTTAGTTGATCTGCTTTATTACAAAGATATTGGATATGCTGATAGAGTACTCTTTAATCCATATTTTTTACAATATCTACCACAAGTTAGCAACAAGACAAGTTGCTTACAGGCTTTATGAGCCTTCTCCAGGTTATAAGGAAACGATCAAGTAGAGTGCTGTTAAACAGATGAGCAGGAGGAATACAAAAGCATGTGTAGGAGGGTTAGCAGGAAGTGATGTAGAGGAATTAGATGTAGCACAGGGTGGGGGAGAAAGTAAAGTTGGGGCAAGAGAACATGAAGCTAGTGACATCTGAGAATGTACAAGTGCCTCTTTAATGCATCTCCATAATACTATTGAATATATGCATTGTTTCCTTCAAATAGACCTCTTTTTCTTTAAGCTCTGTTTAATTACAAGGTTTTCCATAAAAGTCTAATTTCTACACAAGATAGAGGCGTTACTGCAGTTGGTGTCACTCGGGGAAAAACTAATGAAATTTCCTACCCCCTAATAATTTAAATATAAAAATATCTAGTACTGAATAGTTTATGCATTATTTAATAAAAATACAAATATATTTGCACATGACTTTTATTTATAATATATTTAAAAAAAACTGTGTAGGGGTGGATGTGTGCATATGTGTGTGTGTGTTTGTGTGTTTGTGTGTTTATATGTTTTTATATATATATATATATATATATATATATATATATAATATATTTATATATTTATTTTCGAATTGTGTCACTCTTGAAATGGTACCACCTAAGGCGGCCCGCTCTCCTCCTCTACACCACTGAAAAGAATATGTAATCCTTTTACATTATAACTGAAAATGACTTTTACACTAACTCTATGTATATCCAAAATTTAACTACTCAACAAACTATCACTCTCTATTATGCACACATTAATGAAATATATTCAAATATTAGAGAAATAATTGTTTTAAATAAGGGAATGAAGAAGAAAAGGGGGGAGGATTTTGAGCACACTTCATAGATATTAAAATTAATTACTATTAAACACAAATGAAAATTACTTGAAGTAACAGATTTGCAACAGTTCTGAATAAATTTGCTAAATATTTTTCATAAGAAAAAGTACATAGAGTTCAATCAATAGCAAGAACACTAATTACTACCATTAATCCAGCAGTATGAATTAAAAAGTATTTAAAATTAAAAAATATGGAATAGGACCCTCCATTTGTAGACACCATTCTAACCAGCAACAAAAACCAAGATTCCCTCAAACCTATTCACAATACAAGAATGATAGATTACAAAAGAAAATGAATCATACTCACAGGAGCTAAAATGCGGTAAATTTCTTTCAAAATGGTGGCCTCGTCCTTTGCCTTACACAAAACAAACGAGCCAACTACAGCATCAGCATATTCATCCGGTATTTTCTTCAGATCTATATGATTATATTCAACACATTCTTTGATTCGCACATGATCAAGTGTAGTTGCAATTGGCTTAAAAAAGTACTCAAGATTGTATCTTGTGTCCACAGCAACAACATGAGTACTATTAGGAAAATACCTTATATTTATTCCTGAAAAGTTCAAATAATTCTAATTTACCATGAACCACATGAATTTACTATAAATACACAGGACTGCATGTAAAAAACTGCATAGGATTTTTATACACTTTTGTATAGATTTCAAGTTGGTAACAATGAAAAAAATACCAATAACTTTCCATCACGTCATTATTTTTTTGCTACACTCAAATTTGTCTTCGTAATTAGCATAAAATTTCTAATTAAATTCTAATATAACATTCTGTTTAAAAAGCAGTCTTAAAACTACGACTTCTCACATTAATTGTATCAATTATAGCTGAACTTGGCAATAAATGGAAAAAATGTTAATGGCTAAAGAGAGTAGAGGTAGGGGATGGGGGATAAAGTAGTTTCATTGTTCATGAGAGAGATTCATAATTAGGAAGGTCGCAAGATCATGTCGAAAGGGGTTAAACGTTTATAGTGAGTAACATGAGCATGTTTTGACTTGCCTTCTCAAGTACTAGGAATAAATATAAACAACCTGTTGTTGGATTAGTTCATTGTTTCAACAAGCAAATTAAGTTCAATCTTATACCATGTTCAGTTTATATTCAACATTCAAGCAATACAGTGATTGTCACTTCATTTCTGAAATATGGCAAGGAGAGGTTGTGTACTTTTCCCCGACAGCATTTGTTATATATGTGGCGAATAGATAGTAAGAAGTCAACAAAGAATCATAAGTGAGTTTGGGAAGAAAGTTTATTTTGCGTATTTCAAATTGAGACTTGGAGATCAAGGCAAAACATGGGTTCTGTATAAAGTGTGCAGAAGATGTGAGGAAGATCGTTGTTTGTGGTTTAAGGGTAAGAAAAGCTCCTTTCATTTTGGCGTTCCTATGATATGGCATGAACAGAAAAATCATACAACCAACTGCTATTTCTGTTCGGTAAATCTGGTTTATTGTAGTGGTCTTCGTGGGCTCATGAAGTGCTATGAAATAAAAAGTGATTCGTCAGAATGTCATATATCCATTGATTCATCTAAAACTAGCCTCAAAGCAGTCTTGGTGCATAATGGAAACATATTTGCATCTCTTCCTAGGAAACTACACTTGGTTCACATGAAAGAAAAAGTATAATAACTTGACTATAATTCTTGAGAAAATCAAATACCAAGAGCATCAATGGCTGGCTTGAGGAGATTTCAAAATACTAACCATGTTGTTGGGTCAGTTGGATCAGTGTTGGGTTGTTGGATTATACAATATATCCTTGCTTCCTTTGTTTATAGGATAGTAGAGCCATACAGCCACACTGAACAAATTACCAACTGCCCTCCCCCAGACAGTTTAGACCCATGCGAGAAAAAGGTCATTAATACGACCTTGGTTTCCCTATAGCAAGTATTATTACGTCTTCATATCATTTTGGGTCTAATAAAGCAGTTTGTCAAATCACTGCCAAGATATGGGAATTGTTTCGGATATTTGTGTTCCATGTTCCTGAAACTGTCTGAAGCCAAGTTAATAGAGGGAATTTTCACTGGCCCTGACATAAGAAAACTTCTGATTCCCGCTTCATAAAAACAATGGCAGACAAGAAAAAAGAAGCATGGGAGTCTTTCAAGAATCTAGAACACAAGTTTTTGGACAATACTATGGAACCCACATTGCACAACGCATGCTGGCAGCGTATGAAGCTGAAGGATACAAGATGAGTCAAAGTTCATTTCTTACACTTTCAAATTGACTATTTTCTTGCAAACTTGACAGTTTATAGTGAAGAACAGAGTGAAAGATTTCACCCAGATGGTCATGATTTTGAGACAGGTATCCAAGAAAAATGGGATGTCAATACAACAGCCGACCACTGTTAGATGCTCAATCAAGAAACCCAAGAAGGAAACCAGAAACGAGTTCAGAGAAGCATAAAGGGAAAAAAAGTAGACCTAAAATTGTGTAAAAATATCAGAAACATTTTGATTACTTGTAAGAAAATAAATATATTTAGTTCACTGTTAAAAATTAGTGTATTTATTACATTTTTTTTTTTTTTGCAAAAAAATATATGATGGAATGTTTTGGAAATCATTTTTACTATCTGTGACCTTTAGATCATAATTTAGCAAAAATATCCTGTGCAGCTAAAAAAAAAAAAAAACTTTTTTGCAGATCTGTGATATCTATTTGAGATTCTTAGCAAATAAATAAATAAATAATTATATAGTATTGATAGTTGGACCACTAACCCCGATTCTACCCACCAAATGAATTATCATTATTTATCAAATAGGTTTCGATTTGCTAAATATATGCATATTTAAAATACTTCAAATACTCAAAATATAATGATTTTGTAATATATCTTTTCTATTGCAACAATATATTGTAATGGTCAATGACAATAAATTAGCAATTGTCAGTCGTATAAATTTCAGAACAAAAACTATCTGTAATGTACATATATGTATAAACATTTTCAAGTATAAAATGATATAAACATATGTCCAACTCAAATAAATAGAATTTCATTTCAAAATGACTATTGTTTTAAAGAAATCATCAGGCAAAAAATCACTAGTTGACAGATGTATAAAACTTATAAAGGAAAACAGTCCTTCAAATGGCATGGATGAACATAAACTAGCATTATAATGAATAAACTAGTGTAATAAACATAAACTAGTGTTATAATGAATAATATTTTTAATGAAATAGATTTATCATTTTTTTTAATTATATTCATTTTATAAAAATTAATAGAATTCAAATTCAACACCTGAAAGAACTTTTATTTTTGTTTCAATGAGGTGTATCCACTAGCAGAATCAAAGAAAAAGAAACTATCCTTATTCTTGTTCATCTGTATTTAAAGTATTTACATAATTATTTTTTGAAATACACCCATTTTATGTATTTGAATACATCTCCCAATTACCTGTCGCAAAAAACTCAAAAATACAGTTCCTCAAATTCAAAATGTATTTAAAATACGTATTTTAAAAACAAGTACTTAAATACTTGTCAACCCTGTTCACAATCAATAGTTATTGAAAAAGACATGCGGGAAGTTCTGAAGAACAATATTATATTTTATTTACGATGAAGCAAATTTAACAGTTGTTTGACGTATGACTACATTGAGAATAGAGTGGCTCTAAAATATTTACCCGTCATTACACCAATGTCAACAATGCGAATTATGCCTTGGTTTCGGAGAAAAATATCTGCTGATATCAGTCTGTGCAAAGGTGCCAATAGCTCTTGCCTTTGATACCGTGTCATTTCGGCATAACATCGTTCACTCTCGTGCAGTTGTTGCCACACAATCCATTTTTTCGTTTTCGGGTAAAGTGATTTAGCGACATATAAAGCGATCCCTAGGTAGATAACCACGAGAACATAATCCATAAGAAACTGCTGAATTATAACATCAATTTCTGCCATGGTTGACAGTCCAAGGTTGCAATGTGAAACTGGTTCAATAAAATGACAGAAGATTTTCACAAATCAATTATCGTAAACAAGAGCGAATTTAATGTCGCAGACACGTAGAATTGAATTGTACGCAATTACTCAGTGGCAGATATAGGTACAAAATACCATGGAACTAATTCCAAAACGTCAAAAGTTCACGCCACAAACGATGGTACGGCATACAAATAATAACACATTCATGCACAGTTTTGTACGTCTAATCAGATGTCATTACTACACTGGTCACAACTAAATCAATTTTAATAAACTTGGAAAGAGAATGTCCACAACACACCCAACCCTGTCCCCCCCGGCATCGGTCGGTCCAATGTCCACTACACGTGCTACAGCGCCACACATGGCGCGTGGTTTGACAGTACTTTCCCGGTGCGCTGCTTCTGATTTGCCGCTATTTTTACGCGGCAAAGCTCATATTTTAAAAAATTGTAATGTATATCATTCATGATGCAGATGATTTAGATCAGGTTTTCACATTTTCAGCTGGCGGACTCGGCCATTGACCTCTGCTTCCTCTTGTTAGGCCCAGTGACGTCAGCGTCTCGCCGCAGTCATTCATAAGCCGATGACATAACTACTCCAACTCCCGATCGGGTAAAGTTCATAGGTCACAATCACGGACTCTATCATGCGGGTGGTGTTTATTCAGCGCCCCGAGTACTCAATTAAAAACGGCATAGGAACGATGTTTCACTGTTAACTCTAAATTTTTGAAAATTGTAAAAGTGGTTTTTCTTAGTTCCCTCGTTCACCTGCATTATTGAAGATGATATTTCTTCAAATGAAATTTGTTCTCCATAATTAGTGCTTTAATTAATGTAATGAACATTTTTAAATCTTAGAAATTTATACGCAATTTTGAGCGAAATATTAGCAGTAATAAAAAGATTTTCTCCATTTTTTCTGTAAACTTTTTGCACGGATCTGTTAGATGCAATGAATAACGTGCACAAACGACATTTTGATGTATACTTTTGTACATTCAAAATTACACGATTTTTTTTAAATATCTCATGTCGTTAATATTTATATCATGGGCGTTTATTATAAGTATTTAGCACAATCAAATTAGATTAAAAATGGCGAGTGAAATAAATTGAGTGAGTTTTGAAATTTGGCATGAGTGTTCGATAGTACTTACCGCACCTCCTAATAAAAATCCTGAAGTAGGGGGGTGAGTCAGGATTGGGAGTCGTTTGAGGATGATTATTTCTTTCACGGGATGTTTATCAATAAAATGTAAGAATGACACCTGTCTCGTCCAATCAGAGCCATTTTACCCGTGCAATTTTATCGTTTTCGATTTATCGCCGCGATGTCCATTTATTTCCAGTACAACATGACCGAGAAAATTCCAAATGAATACAATCTACGAGTGTCCTTATCGTCTTTACTAATTGTTGATGGAGAAACGAGGTAAACAAGTGAAAATAGTCCTACAGGTCGGAATGAAATTTCTAAATGGACCAAATTTTCTGCTCAAAAAGCTGGTTTAGATACCACACATAAAAAATTATTAACCATTCAAGCCGCTCGACATTACACATATGGCCCACGTCGAAACACAATAACAAGAAGCTATTAAAATAACGGGTCACGGGGAATGCCTACTCTTTAAAACAGTATCTGCTATAAGGAATACTAATCTTCAATTATGTTCAAAACCAACGCAAAGCAAAGACCACAAGTTCAGCTCTTGAATCAAATAAAACTTCCCCAGCTACATATAGACTGAAGATCCAAAATAACTGGTACACCTGCCTAATATTGTGAAGGGCCCCCGCGAGCACGCAGAAGTGCCGCAACACGACGTGGCATGGATTCGACTAATGCCTGAAGTAGTGCTGAAGGTAATTAACACCGTGAATCCTGCAGGGCTGTCCATAAACTCGGAAGAGTTGGATAGTAGTTGGACAGTTAAAAGGGGGTGGAGATCTCTTCTGAACAGCACGTTGCAAGGCATCCCAGATATGCTCAATAATGTTCATGTCTAGGGATTTTGGTGGCCTGTGGAAGTGTTTAATTTTAGAAGTGTTCCTGGAGCCACTCTGCAGCAATTCTGGATGAGTAGGCTGGATGTTTAGCCTCCAAGAGCTTGAACACCAAGAGTTGACATGCAGAATCCATGGATTCATGAGGTTGTGGCAATACTCGAACACGTCCATCCGCTCGAAACAATGCGAAACGAGACTTGTCAGACCAGGCCACGTGTTTCCAGTCACCTTTCCAATGTCGTTGACGGGCCCAGGCGATGCGTAATCTTTGTGTCGTGCAGTCATGAAGGGTACCCGAGTGGGCCTTCGGCTCCGAAACCCCATATCGATAATGTATCGTTGAATGGTTTGCACAACACTTGTTGATGGCAAAGCATTGAAATCTGCAGCAATTTGCGGAAGGATTACACTTCTGTCACGTATAATGATTCTCCTCAGTCGTCGCTGGTTCCGTTTTTGCGGCCGCAGCAATGCGGAAGTTTGATGCTTTATCGGATTTCCGATATTCACGGTACACTCGTAGGGGAAACCCAAATTTCATCGTGACCTCGGAGATGCTGTGCTCCAGCTCTCTTGCGCCGACTATAACACCTTGTTCGAACTCACTTAAATCGTGATAATCTGCCATTCTAGCAGCAGTAACCGATCTAACAACTGTGCCAGAGACGGGTTGTCGTATATAGTAGTTGCCGACCGGAGCGCCGTATTCTGATGGGTTTCAGATCTCTTTGTTTCTATACGCATGGGTGTGCCAATTTTTTGGGCTCTTCAGAGTAATATCAACAACTGTACATTTCAAGGGTGCTCATTTGATTAAATATAAAATTAATAGAGGTTTGCATTCATCCCCCTAAATTTGTTTTGTTCGTAAATCGCTGATTATCATAAAAAATTGTTACTAATTTAAAAAATAAATGATGACATGATCTGATTTCACTGTGGCTAATTTGTACAGGGGACTTTGACATCACGTCCGATGCTGCAGTATCTTCTATTAAAACATAGGTGTTAATACTAGTAATAATTATGGATATTAAGATTTACTACTAACTATATTTTTTCTATTGCATTCATAAAATAATCCTCTCAAATACCACTTGTGCTTTGGATCATTTACGATAAATTGCAAAGCACTCGTGTTATTACCCTTGATTTATCTACTTTTTTGCATACATCTCCACTTATCATCTCACTCATCTCCACTCATCAGAACTATCAATCCTACCTAGTTCTATACAAAATTAAAGTACATAAAATTTCCTACAAAAGTAGTTCCAATGAGATTTGTTGTAGGAATATTGGGACTTTCTCCAGTTCCATAATCATTGCATGCCCCGACGAACATTGAATGTGACGTTTGTCATTGTCACTCAGTTTTAGTTGCCCTCTACGTAGGAGGTAAAAGTCAGTATTACATTTATATTGTTTTATGTAATTTGTATGTTGGCAGTTTACACGAATCTTATAAAATAAAGTATGGCTTGGTATGGTAATCTAGGACCCAATGGCCTGGGATACTCGCAAGTTACCGTACAAAATAAGATTTGATAAGATGCAAAATGTTCATGTTTTTTGGGCAAAATTTGCAAGTACAGATTGCTGAGAAATGTTGAACAAAAAAACTTATACGAATTGAGCCTTGTAAATAAAAAACCAGAACTTTTCAAGCCTACAACATTAAAAGGATTAATTCTACAACAAAACCTAATAGGAACTTTTCTGTAGAAAATGTATCTACCTTAATTTTGTATAGAGTATAATTTTCTGTAGTTCGTTTTCGATAGTTCTGGAGATACACGCTTAAAACTTAGAAAAAACACCCCTAAACGGGCGTACCACTCCCCGCACTTCAGGATTTATAGTATTACTAGGTATCAACGAACGATCATGCTAAGTTTCAAAACTCCTGGATCATTGTTACTCGATTTGTCTAATTGGACTGGACAAATTATTGCACTTGTGAGTACAAATGATTTAATTGATTTCTGATAAAGAATATCGAAAACTCAATAGTTTTCTGTCAAAATGAGTTTAAGTGGTTCAAAATTTTTTCGAAACGCTTCAAAATGTTTCAGTGAAAATTAGCATAAGTAGGTCTTTCTCTTTTTCAATGTTCTTAAAATCACACTTGAATTCTACTATTAAGGAAAGGAGAATGCCGAAGAATTGAGGAAATGTGATTAAACAAATGTAGGTCTACTTTAAGCACCGATAGGAGATGGAAAGAGGGTAGGACAAAACCGAAAAGCTAGTCCAGACTAAAGAAACGAGAAAGTTAAAAGGAAACTAACTAATATGAAATGTCTGTGCCATTCTGTAACGCCACTAGTTATTTTGTTTCAAACTTTTCTCAAATTGCATTGGGAATAACCTCAATTATTTGTTAATAATAAGATTTACGACTCCCACATTTTCTTTTCATTGCGTTAAAACATTCTCATCATCTGAAAATGTTAATAAAAATAATTTGTTAGTACGTACTTTAAACCAACAACACTTATTTTACAGTTAAATAATAACATTTCTGTTACAATTGACATAGGGGCAGGCGGTATTCGATTAGTGTTATGTAGCATTGATGTTTTTTTACATTTTTTAATATTTATTGAAATACTTTCTTTTTTTTAGTCTTATACTAAAACATTAAAATACTTGAATTAATTTTCTTTAGAACATAAATAATTTAAAGTTATTAGAAGTGACAATAAATGAAAATATTTTTTCATTAGTTTTGTATTGTATCTGTAAGATTACGAAGAAAATATTAAAAACTGATCTGTAGTATTTTGTAGAATACCGTTAAATTGGCGCAGTAGACTGTCGCTCATGCGCCATCCACAAAGGCGACGTGTGAACGGCTTGTGATAAAAAATGTTCTCGTCTGTGCGTCCTTCCTTCTCTCAAAATATGCTCCCAATCTTACTGTTAGGTGCAGTCAGAATCGACTAGTTCTGACTTTAATTATCATTCATTTTAATACACAACACAAATAAAACGAATACATTTTTTTCCTGAGCTATAATTTATTTTCACTTCTTGCATTTAAATGGGGAGAGGTAGTGTTGTAAGCGTTATGTAATTATATAGGGCGGTTCAATTGCGCCCTATATAATTACACCTTAACTTTAACTAGTTAAGGGTGCGTTACGGAGGGAAGAGGGTATTCAAAATACTCCAGATTTGCGTTACGTAATTCATACACGGCCCCTTACTTGTTAGTGTGCAATTTACTTGTCATATTTCTTTCAACAGAACATGCATTCAAAAATCATTTTCTAAAATAAGTTTCCAATAGATAACAACATTTTATTTAAAATAAATCAACTAGTACTGCTACTCGCATATTTTCTCGCATTATTTCTAACTTATG